TAATGTTTTATGTTTATTTTTGCATGTCTTTTCAAAGAAGAAATTTGCAAGGATTCCGTTGCGAGATTTGGGATTTTTGTTTAGGAATATTAAGGATTTTTTTCCATCATATATCCTGTATTTTTTTTTATAGAAAAAGTTCCGGAAATTTCCCTGCCAAGAAGTACTTATTAATACATATATTTCAAAAAAGCATTTTCAAAGTAACATTTAACATATGCCTGTTATTACTTATTAGATGAACAATCATATCATAATAAAAACAATAACAAACACATTATAATAACATCAAAGTAAAGATTTCGCAATGTAACATTTCAAGAAATTTAAATCACTCCCAAAATAAGAATTTAACATTTTAACACCGACAAAATCCAAATTAACAATTTGACAATTCATCACCGACAAAATCTTAACTTTATTAACCCAAGTTAACCATTTAACATTTCAAACACCACCAGAGCCTCCAGATATCAATGAACGATTCAACATTTCAAATACCAACAGAAACAAAAACAAAATTAACTCTCATGAACAATTTAACATTTCAAACACCAACAGAAACAAAAACAAAATTAACTCTCATGAACAATTTAACATTTCAAACACCACCAGAGCCGCCAAATATCATCCCCAATGAACAATTTAACATTTCAAACACCAACAGAGAATCCATTTAAACCCAAAATCCGACTCAATATCTTAACGAACCCACATCTTAATCTCGTTCCCATTCCTTAAACCCACATTCTCGCCTACCTTAGGAAACTGCAACAGACTTTCTTAAAAGAGAGAGAGAGAAAAAAAACAGATTTTCTTAGAAGAGGAAAAAACCAACAGACTTTCTTAGAAGAGGAAAAAAAAACAACAGATTTTCTTAGAAGATTAAAAAAACCAACAGACTTTCTTAGAAGAGGAAAAAAAAAAGACTTTCTTAGAAGAGGAAAAAACCAACAGACTTTCTTAGAGGAGGAAAAAAAACAACAGACTTTCTTAGAAGATTAAAAAAACCAACAGATTTTCTTAGAAGAGGAAGATGCAGCAGACTTTCCCAGCATCACACTCTCCCTCTTCCTCTCGCGGGGCCTTTCCACACTGGTCTTCCGGAACGCACTCGCCGCCACGCCCACGGCAGTCCCTCACGTTGCTGGGTACTATGGGTGGGTGGGTGGATCGGGGAGTGGGTGGATTAGGGTAAGAGGATAGGGTGGGTGGGCGGGTGGGTGGGTGGGTTGAGGAAGGGGATAAGGGTGGGTGGGTGGGTGAGTGGATAATGGTGGGTGGATGGGTTGAGGAAATGGATAAGGTGGATGGGTGGGTTGATGAAAGGGATAGGGTGGGTGGGTGGGGAAGGGGAATAGGGGGGGGGGGGGTGAGGAAAGGGATAGGGGGGGGGGGGGGGAGGGTGAGAGAGCGTTGTTATCATCATCATCGTCGTCGTAAATATTATGGTCATTAGTAGAACTTTAGGAGTATTGATATCATCATTGTCAATATCAACGAGAAAGAGGAAGATAGAAAGGGGAAGGAAGTGGGAAAGACAGAGAGAGGGAACGGGAGAGGCTGAGGGAGAAGAAGGTGAGGAAGATAGATAGATAGAGAGAGACACAGCAAGATAGACAGATAAGAACAGAGACAGAAAGAGAGATAGAGACAGAAACATAAAGAGAAAAAGAAAGAGAGACAGATAACCATAGAAAAGAAAAGAAAAAACTTACTCATTTAAATTTTAAAATCCTACCCAATACAAAATGAAAAATCCCTCTTTCCCCTTACCTTTATAACAGCACTCGACACCCTGAGCTTGCTGTTCGGGGCAAAGGCCGAGCGTCTGGTGGAGGAAGCCATCGGGACAAGCGGATGCTAAGCCACAAATACCTCCTTCACGAGAACACGGTTCCTCTGGGTGGTATGGCTGGAAGGAAAGGCGTTGTCTTAAGGAGTGAAAAAGAGGGTGGAGGGGAAGGGGAGGAGGGGGGAGGAGGGAGGGAGAGGGGGGAGAAGGAAGGAGGAGGAGGGAGAGGCGGAGGAGGAGGGAGAGGGAGGGAGGGAGGAGGGGAAGAAGGGGGAGGGGAAGGAGGGAGGAAGAGGGGGGGGGGAAGAGGAGGCGGAGGAGGAGGAGGGGGGGAGGGAGGAGGAGGAGGAGTAGGAGGCAGAGAAAAAGAAAGAGAAAGAGGAAGAGAGAGGGAAATGGAAAGAAAAAAGAAAGGAGAAGAGGATGAGAAGGAGGAAGGGAAAGGGAAAGTGAAAAAGGAAAAGGAGAAAGGGGAAAAAAGAAGAGGAGAAGGAGGAGGAGGAGCAGAAGAAGAAGACGATTGGAAATTTTGTAAGGAAAACCATCGTCTTACGAAGATAAAGGGATTTTCTGAGGGCAGTTTCCTTAATAATTATATATTAATAACTGATTATTAATTACCAATCTATCATTATTCCTGTAAAGAGGCGATAGATTTTTTTTTTTTTGCAAGGGGGAAGGAATTCTGACTTTATTATTATAAAT